GGCTCAGGCAATTCACTCGCCTCGGCCTCCCAAAATGCTGGGATTACAGGCTGAGCCACCGAGCCCGGCCCACATTTTTTATAATGTGCTGATAGGCCTTTTGTACATCTCCCTTGGACACATGTCTATTCATATCCTTCACCCATTAATTTTTTTTTACTCTATTTCGCAGAGGAAGCTCGATTTTAAGTTGGAATATTGTATTTGTCTTTTTTTGCAAAGTTGTTATAGTTCTTTATATATTCTGGATACTAGTCCCTCATGCACACGGGTTATTTCGTATATTAAATTGTAGTGGCCGTGAGAGCAGCTTATACATTTTAAGAGGCGACACAAAACAAATGAAAACGATGACTGTGCAAGGGCAGCGAGCGTGAGGTTCCACAGCCGTGGGCGAATCCCACGACGCCCCCTGCCCCCCGTCGGAGCAGCAGAGCCGTACCCACAATTTCCCCATCCCCTGGCCCCGCCCTCCGCCCTTTGACCCGCGCCGTTTCCGGTTGAAGACGTGGCTCGGGGCCGCCATCTTGGCCAAAGGCGAAGCGGCAGCGGCTCCTGTCAGGGGGGCAGCAGGTCCAGAGCGGCCGGCGCTCCCCTTCCCCTGACCCTAGCCCCAACCCCAGCGGAGTCGGAGCGCGGGCGCGCCCCACCACCGCCCTCACCATGGTAAGATCCGAGCCAGGACCCGAACTCCCGGGGTCGGAGCCCCGCTCGCCCCGCTTCCCTGCCGGCCGGCCTGGCGCTGGGGCCAGAGGGGCCCCGCCCCGAGGGTCTGGAGCCGGGTGCTGCTCTTTGGCGGCGGGGAGCCGTGTGGCCTCCCGGGAGATCCGAGGGCGCCTACTCCAGTCCATCTGTCGTCGTGCCCTCCTCCCTCCCCCAGCTGGACCCTGGCTGGGGCGGCCCGGGGGTTTCGCTTCGCGAGCACTTCGCGGCGACGGCCGCGTGGGCCCCACGCTGCGGACCTCGGCGCTAACGTCCAGCCGGCCCCCCGGGCGCTGAGGCCGAGCAGGCCGGGCCCCTCGGGAGGTTCCCGTGCTGTGGTCAGCTCGCCTCCCACCCCCGGTGTTGGTAGGCCGTTGGTGCGCGAAACTCAAATGCATCGATGTTCAGGGGTGGTTCTTTTGTTTGTTCGAAAGGGGGAAATGGAGGCATGGAACGGGAAGGAGTAACTTCTAACCGTCATTGGCAGGACCCAAGCGTCCCTGAGACCTTGCACTACTTCTATAGAACTTAACGTGTGTCCCTTTGTCAGTGTGATTGAGCGTACGCTGTGGATAGGGCATTGGGAATATCGAGCGAGTTGTGCAGAACACAGGGCTTCTGTCTTCAAGGTGAGGTAAAGTGTGTATGTGGCATATCGGAATCAGATGTCTCCTAGGAGGGGGAGTAAGAGGGGTGGGCTGTACGCTGGGACCTGTTACTTGCCCCCAGGTGCATTATCTTTGTGTACTCAGCTGTTACAGAGACGGGACAAATTAGTGTGGGTGGGGTTGGGGGAAACAGAACTGCTGACTCCACTCAAGTCTTCTTTTATCACAGTGATTTGTGGATATTCATGAAGTAGAAAATATTCTTCGGTTTCAGACAAGCCAGTGATTTATTCTTTAGTGCACCTTGTGCCCTTTAATGGTCTGTTCTTTTTATTATTATTATTATTATTATTATTCTTTTGTTGATAGGTAATTAGATTTAAAGCATCTTCTGTGTACCTGAGAAATGATAGAATGTAATTAGGTGCCGATCTTACCAAGTGCTATTGACAACCCTTTAGATTAGAACTTGGATGATGGGGAGATTGAGTCATTGTTGGGCTTTAAAGCACTGAAAGTCCCCGCCCCCCCCCCCCCAGCCTCAGATATAAGTTAATCTAGCAGGTTTGCCTTCTAAAACCTTTGTGTTGTACATAAAATTTCCAAAAACTCATTCTTTCATTTCCTCTAGGAGCCTAAGTATTTGGAAACTCTGTTTTCTTTTACACCCTGTAAGTATTAGTAGTACACTTTACAGCATATTATTATTTTAATAGCAAAGTTAAAACCTTGTATTATATAAACCAAATATAGGTAATTTTTATTAAAAATCTTGTTTGTTAAAAGGTTCTTAGAACTTAGCATTTTAAACTCATTGATAACTTAGGGATGATAACTGAGCCCTAGGTGTTGATGGATATATATATATATAAAACAAATTTTGCATGTTATTTTGACATGTATGCATATACACATGGTTGTATCATATGTTTCTGAATTATTTGGGTCTTGGCATGATCCAGATACCCACAGATTTGTACTCTAAAGAACAGTTTGTCTCAGTATTCTCTGTAGTATCTTAAGACATTGGTGTTATTTCTATGTAATACCATTTGGGTCTACTTCTTTACAAAGAGATCCCAGTACAGTAGAAATGTCCTAAACATTTGGAAAAGTCTAAAGAACTTTACAGTGAATATCCATAAACCATCAGCTAGATTCTATAATTAACATTTCACTATACCTATTTATCATAGCTAATCATCTATTCCTCGTTTCATCTTTTTAAAAAATACATTTCAAAGTGAGTTTCAGATATCAGTACATATACTTTGACTTTTTAAAAAAATAAATGTCCTTTGGCTTTAGTTATTAAAGCCAAAAGCGCAAAATGTACTAGACTGCGAAGTCCTAATAGATAAATAAGCAAGGAAATACAAAAACAAATGACTTACGATGACTTTATTTTTATTTTTTTTTTTGAGTTGGAGTCTCACTCTGTCACCCAGGCTAGAGAGCAGTGGCACGCTCCCGGCCACTGCAGCCTCAACCTGTTGGGCTCCGGCGATCCTTCCGCCTCAGCCTTCCAAGCAGCTGGAACTACAGGCACGCGCTACCACACCCAGCTAATTTTTTGATTTATTGTAGAGATGAGGTCTCGCCAAGTTGCCCAGGCGGGTCTCGAACTCATGGACTTAGGCAATCCACTCACCTCGGCCTCCCAATGTGCGGGATTACAGGCTGAGCCACTGAGCCTGGCCATGATGACTTTATTATATAATAAAGTACAAAGACATCTTTTGACTTGATTTTTTTTTTTTTTTTTGGTCATGGGGTCTCACTGTGTTGCCCAGGCTATTCACAGGTGTGGTTATGGCACACTGTAGCCTGAAACTCCTGGTCTCAGAGGATCCTCCTACCTCGGCCTCTCAAGCTGAGACTATAGGTGTGAGGACCTTGGTTTCATCTTTTTTCTAGTATTCTACAAGTTAATGAGGACATCTTCTTAACTTTCTTAACAGTCAGTTTTTTCTGAATAAATTTATATTTGAACAAACATCTTTTTTTTTTTTTTTTTTTTTTTTTTTTTTAGTTGGAGTCTCACTGTGTTGCCCATGCTGGAGTACAATGGCACGCTCATGGCCACCGCAGCCTCGACCTGCTGGGCTCCAGCAATTCTTCCACCTCCGCCTTCCAAGTAGCTGGAACTACAGGCACGCACTACCACTCCCGGCTAATTTTTTAAATTTACCGTAGAGATGAGGTCTCGCCAAGTTGCCCAGGCAGGTCTCGAACCTGTGGGCTCAGGCAATCCACTCACCTCCGCCTCCCAATGGCGTGGGATTACAGGCTGAGCCACCGAGCCCAGCTGAACAAACATCTTATTAAGTCTCATGATAGCACCTGTCTGTAAAATCTTTGCTTATCTGTAGAACTCTGTTCTTACTTAATAGACAGTAAGTGAGCTTACTGTGGTAGTCATATTAAATATAAATGAAAACAAATTCAGTCCCCCAAAATCTTTAGTTATAAAAAAGCTAGCCAGGCGTGATGGTGCATGCCTGTAGTTCTGGCTACTTGGAAGACTGAGGTGGAAGGATTGCCTGAACCCAGCAGGTTGAGACTGTGGTGGCTGTGAGCGTGCCACTGTACTCCAGCATGGGCGACAGAGTGAGACTCCAGCTCAAAAAAAAAAAAAAAAAGCTAGATTTGGTCTTGTGTTGTTAATTACACGAAAAACTGAAACCCTACATAGTAGTAACAGGTCCCAGTTAGGGGATTATTATTGCTTTTTTTTTTCCTTTTTCATATTCAATATAGCAGCTGCACAACTATTGTATTCTCTATGTTTCTTTTTGATTGTTTGAGGGGAAGGCAAAGAATGAAACTATTTTCCTGAGATTTGCCATCTATTGATGTCTTCATATAGGAAGTTCACTGCAGAAAACTGATAAAGATGTCTTTTTAAAAAAATCTCTACAAGCTCCTGTTTTAGAACAGAAATGTGCTGGTCATGGTGTCTCATGCTTGTAATCCCAGCACTTTGGGAGGTGGAGGCAAAGGATCGCCTGAACTCAAGGGTTTGAGACCAGCCTGAGCAACTTGATGAGACCTTGTCTCTACAATAAATTTTAAAAATTAGCCAGGCGTGGTGGCACCTGCCTGTGGTTCCAGCTACTTGGAAGGCTGAGGCTGAAAGGATTGCCTTAGCACAGCAGCAGTGGCCATGAGTGTGCCACTGCACTCCAGCGTAAACAGCAGAGTTAGACTCTGACTCAAAAAAACAAAACAAAACAAAAGAACAGAAATATGATGTACTTAAAAGCCTCACTGAGTAAATTGCTTTCTTTTTTTAATTTTTCTTTCTTTTTTTGGGTTGAGGTCTCATTCTTTCATCTAGGCTAAAGTACAGTGGCACAATAATGGCTCACCGTAGCTTTGACCTCCTGGATTCAGGCGGTTCTTCCACCTCGGCCTCCCGAGTACCTAGGACAACAGGTGCGCACCACCATGCCTGGCTAATTTTTTTTTTTAATTGTAGAGATGTGGTCTTGCTATGGTCCAATCCTCGCATCTTAGCCTCCCAAAGTACTGGGATTACAGGCATGAACTACCACATCCAGCTGTAAATTGCTTTTCAAGTTTTAGGTTTAGTTTGTGGTCTAGATCTTATTGTAATCTTCCCACTGGTTTCTTCTGTAATTACTTCATGTAAACAGGAAAGACAAAATAATCCTCTATGACAGTTGTGGAAACTAGCCTTAATTTATATGACCATGAATCATATATGTGTGCGCCAGTGTGTGAATATATAAAATACTACAGTGAATTACAAAGGAGAAAGTTACTGTAATTCTAGAAGTGAGGAATCCTGAAGCATTTAGAGGTTCATGAAAGACCTTGACATTTTTTTTAGAGAGTTGTGCATATTTATGCTGAATTACCACCTGTTATTCTTGTATATCTATTAGACATACTATTTGTTTTGGTTAGGCATTTTACCTTCTAGCACCTTAATATTAGTATAAAATATGTTTCCAAAGTAGTTACTACTGAGCAGTGGGTATGAAATGAAAGTATTGCACATTTTCTTTTTGTTTTTCTTTTTTTTTTGAGCTGGAGTCTCACTCTGTTGCCCAGACTGGAGTGCAGTGGCTACTCCGGCCACCGCAGCCTCAACCTGCTGGGCTCCGGCGATCCTTCCGCCTCAGCCTTCCAAGTAGCTGGAACTACAGGTGTGCACTACCACGCCTGGCTAATTTTTTGATTTTTATTGTAGAGATGAGGTCTCGCCAAGTTGCCCAGGCGGATCTCAAACCCCCGGGCTCAGGCAATCCACTCACCTCGGCCTCCCAAAGCTCGGGATTACAGGCTGAGCCACCGAGCCCAGCCCACATTTTCTATTCCTGTAAAGTT